CAGTTTGACCCAGGAAAGGGGGAAAAAAAAAAAAAAATCAAAATTGGGGGGGGGGGGGAAGAAAAACCAACATTAACTTAGATCTAGCCATTTGGATTTGGCACATTCACCTCCAAGGGAAAAAACAACCTCCAGCCCTGAAAAATAACAACATGCCTGATTATAAGCAGGGATTAACACTCTAATTGCATCAGGTTAAGAAAGCAGCTGCAACCTCAGTTATCATAAAATACTTTATTGTACAAAAATAAATTTTACTTCCACACTGCTGTATAATATTTAGAAATTACGTATGCTGTCAAGGAATCTAGAAGGAGAACACAGCAATTAATCTGACATTTTGAATTAAGAATAGGAGGGACACAGTGGTCAGCAAGATACTAGCTGACAGCAAGCACTCCTCTGATCTTTAGTTCATAAAAATATATCGAGAAATGTAAAATCCAAGGATCAAAAGTTTGCCGAGCCTTTAAAAAAAAAAATGCTGGTCTTCTGTCCTTCTTTGCTTCTTTATAAAAATTTAAATCTCATAAGCATATTTCTTCTCCATATTCTGCTTTTTCTCTATCGTGAAAAAGAGATCGAACAGCAAGCTTATCTGTCCAATTTTTACTGAAGGGCACTCCAGAGTTTTCTGCTGAGTGCACAGCCCTTAATTGAATTTTTACAGACCACTTTAGTGCACCCACAGGCACTTGGCAAATAGCAGGCACCAAGGTAAAGAAGAAAAAAAAAAAAAAGCATGAATTTTACAACAGCCTAAAAATGCCTTCCTGTAACTTCCCAGCATTTCAGCCCTTTGTGGTCGCATTCTTACAGCGAGCGGCAGGTGGAATCAGGATGTGTTTCAGAGCAACACAGTGCAAAATAGCAAAAAAAAAAAAAAAAAAAAAAAAAACTTCTTTGAGGCTCTGGTGAACTCCTCTTCCCCCCAGGCGTCACGGAGATGGTCAGCCAGCTGCTCTCGGGCTGGGTCGCCGACCAGAACTGGACCAAGAAGTATCACTACCACGTGGCTTACCTGGTCCTCAGCGGCATCACCAACCTGCTCTGCCCTCTGGCCACCACCTTCCCGTCGCTCATGGCCTACGCGGTGGCCTTCGCCGTTTTCTGCGGTGGGTTCATGGCTCTGGTCCTTCCTGTGCTGGTGAGTACGATATTTCATTTAAAAAAAAAAAAAAAAAAGAAATGTAGCATGTGGCATTTGGACCAAAAAAAATCAAAAAAAGAAATGTAGCATGTGGCATTTCCAACAGTATTCCAAAAGTACCCAAAAACCTTTTCATAAAGCTGAATTCCCCTGGGCTGTTGCAGCCCTGCATGAGAGGGCTCTCCCCTCCAGCCTTCCCAGTTTGAGCCACTGGAGAACCCCAAATCTCTTACTGGTACCCACAGCCGAGATGCAGCAGAAGCACTGGGCGTTTATCGCAGATTTTTAATGACCTGGCTCTGCTAATTGGCTCCCACATCCTCCTTTCTGAAGGAGACGGCTCCAGCTCACAGGAAATGAAGGGGTTCATCCCGGTCCCCATCTCACGAATGCCAAGACAAAGGGCTGCGCATATCTGCTGCCCATCCCAGAACTATCTGTAATGCGCAGACCGGTTACGGCAGCAGGCAGGTAACGTTATAATTTGGCATTTCTTTCTGGGAAGGAATTCAGAGTTTAAAACACCTTGCTCAAAGTCTTAGCAGCGTTACTCGTTTCGGGAGATGCCCAAGCAGCTGGAAGGCAGAAAAGCATCTCGCATCCTAGTAATTTCCGTGCCGGCCTTAAGGAGGCGAGCGGATTCCAGGCTGGATCGGACCTACAGGTGCAAAGTCCTTTCAAACCTGCAGCTGGAGAGGAAACTCCCCAGAAAGAAAAAAAAAAAAAAAGAAAACCTCTTGTGCTTATGCATTCACATGAACTCAGTAATTATCTATTTTGTTTTACAAACAGGTAGATCTAGTGGGCGTGCAAAAACTCCACAGCTACTTGGGGTTTGCTGCCTTCTTTGCTGGGATAGCAGCCATCGGCGGACCTCCTCTAGCAGGTAATTCTAATGTTGCACATAATATATACCCACCGCACGCAGCCAGTCCTAAAACATGCTCCTGGTTCGCTCTCCTACCCATATGCATCCAAGGATGGGTTTTCTGTCCAAGTGGGGATGAAAAAAAAAAACCAACCCCAAACCAAACCAACAACCATATTTCAGCAATTTATCTTTATACACAGGCAGTATTTTGCTCGTGAATTTGCAAAACCCAACTAGCAGTTTGGAAAAAATGCTGCCTGGAAAAAAAGGAAGCTAAACCCCACACACGCATTTTAACCCTGACCACAGCAGAAGAGTAACGACCACGTTACCGTGGGTTTTACCCCCAGCCGGGCGTTATAACACTGAACTTGGAACGAGGGATGGGAGGGGAGACAAGGAGAGGAAGGGAAAGCAAGGTCGGGCTCAGCAGCAGCCCCGCCGAGCAGAGGCACTGAACCGCAAGGAGAAGTCTCCGTAATCTCTTGTTTTGAAGAAGATTACGCAGGTCAGCCACAAGACCTCCTGGGCCCAAAGATAAGGAGAATGAAAAGCCTTTCCTCTTCTTCCTCTGTCAGAAAACCAAGGCCGCTCTGAGTACCTGGCAGATTTCAAGCGCGTAGAAGTGAGTCTGCAGTCCCTGCTGACAAGCAAGGGACTTGTTCTCCTCCAAAGATCTTGGCCAGGACAAAGCTTTTCCTTCCCCTGATGACCCTTCAGCCGTACCTGGAAACGGGATCACAGCTCCTCCTAGGTCCTCATGATGCCAACAAACTAGAAAAAGCCGCAAGGTCAAATACCAGTGCGCACGATGGCCCGTCACCCACCTAGCAAATAATAAAACCTGGCAACTTCTTCTTCATTTATTGCTTCCTGCCCTCCGCTCTCAGCCGCCCCACGCCTGCAGAGGCACTTTGCTCCAGGCTGCCAAGGATCCTGGAAACACCAGCTCCGTGCAAAGTTTTAGCAACGCTGCTGTACCGCGAGCATGTGACAAAAAAATTGATTTCCCTAATCAATATTTCTAGGTGGGCAAAACTCTGTATACAGATGCAGTTTTGAGCAACTAAAGTATTTCACTGACAGTGTGCTTTACGCTGTCACGGTGATACAAAGCCTCTGCCGGGCAAGATCTCTTCTGCTGATACAAGATGTACGTCCACCAGAAAGCAATCCCTGTACAACCACTGCAGTAAATTCCCCGACACGGTACCATACAGTACGAAAAGAGCTAAATAACTCGGCCATCTCTTATCCATGCATCAGACACGCTAAGATAGCGGTTATACTTTCACCCACTCCCAATATATTTTCGCTAATGGGAAGCCTTTTGCTTTCTGAAAGTGCTAACCACTCACCGTGTGAACGCTTCTGGATTTTGTAAAGCAAGCAGGTTTCCTGCAAAAAGCCTTCCACAGAAATCAGTCTTCTTAATACTGGTGGGATAAATAGGATAAATAAAGGCCAAATAAAGCCAAGAAGCAAAACTCTCACAGATCCGTCTCACTGCAGGCAGAGCGAGAGGGAAACAATTCAGAGCTCAGGATCGAGGTTTGTGATCCAAGATAAATTCTGCAATTTTCTCTTCCAATACAGCTGTATGAAGCGTGAAAACTGAATATGACCGGAAGCTACTGCTTAAGTGTCCAAAAGCGCCTGCTCCTTACAGAATACAGAACAAGATTTAAATGCTATGTCAGACCCTGGAGTTTCGTGCCTCTGACTGCTGCTGACCTCCCTAAACCTTGACTTGAGAGTTACAATTTTATAAAACTCACGTATTTTTAATGCAGTGAAACCCAAGGCATAATGAGAACCGCAAAGGTTACAAATGCTTCTTTTGCATACTAGAGCAAAGCCTAACCACAGTGCAGTGGAAAGGTGACTTACCTGCAAATCTGTTTAACTAAAAGCCCTTAAATCCGGAGGCAGCCGGCCCGACCAAAAGCCCAGGGTGAAAAGTTTGAAGGCTCCTTACAGCTCCTCATCCGCCAGCACTGCTGGATGCTTCTGCCATGCTGAAAAGAAAACAAAACCAAAACAGAACAAACATTATTTTGGCAAACCGCAAGCAAGCTAAGGAGAGAAGAGTACATGTTATTTCCATAAGCAGCACAAATCAGTAACTCAGACTGCAAAAGAAAGAAAACAAACCATGTAATCCAAGATTACAAAACGGATTTCAGCAGCCAGCACACAAACACCAGCCCCAGCAAACTTGGGTGGTGAAAGGGGAGAGGATGGAGTCATTCGAAAGCTGTGCTGGCACGCACATTTACAAGCTCTCATCTGAATTTTACCTGCACTTCACGCTAGGTATCACTACTTAGGACATCAGGAATAAATACAATTTCTGATTACAGATCGGCAGCGCAATTTAAACAGCCTGACCGCAGCCCGCAGCGCGAGTATGTGTGTGGATGTTTCGTTTGGACCATTTAGGTGCCAGGGATTTACTGGCATTGCTTACGAAACTGCTGTTTTGCTGAAGTTTGCACACCATGAGCTTCTAATTCAGCTTTCTGAATCATCAGGAATGAATTTTTTTTTTTTTTTTGGATGGGGAGTCGGGGCACAGGCACCATAGGTGCTTTAAAAGGCTGCGGTGTCACGCGGTGGAAGGTGATCGCTGTGCTGCTGGCGAGGAGGCAATGCTGGTCTTTCAGCGCCAAGCAGCGCTTACAGAAAAACAAAAAAAAATTTAAAATATCCTGAAGGATATTAAAAAAAAAAATTAAATAAATCAGAGCTCCACAACGGGGCTACTCTATGCTGTCCATCTTACAAACGACTATGTTAGATCCCTTCTCCTGTCCAAATCCCACAGACTTTCAGACAGCAAAACCAGATCCCACCTTCGAGAATAAACCACTCTGCAAAAACATCAGGGTCATGGGAGAGCCACCCACGCCACCGAGTCCAGGGCCACGGGATCCTCCTTTCCGACAGCACGCTCCATCTTCGCCTGCTCACACGATATCCCTGAGAAAAGAAACAGAGCTGAAACTCCCCCGAGAAAGGCATGAGCCAACAGAAACTGAAACCGGGGTAGAGCAAAGCAGTCCGCAGCTTTTTTCCTCTTTTTTTATAAAAACCTTCCTGCAGCCGTGTAAATCTACAGCAAGGCAAAATCTTAGCACCTCTGGTTTGCCACAGATCCCCAAATTTTACCGGCACCGTTTCCTTCCCTACTCAGAGCCGTGGCACCCGCAGTACCAGCAGCAGCAGCAACGCTCCTGCGCGGCCGAGATCGGGATCTCCGGGGACTGTATTATTTCCCTTCCTAACCAGAGCTGGTTTTAAGAATCCCAAATTTGGGCCAGATCTGCCATTTGTGTAAATCGCGCAAGTCCACGGAGGAATGGCATTTTACGCCAGCTCAGCTCCTAACCCACCTTGGACATCCACCCATCCCGTGCCAGATTTAGGAGTGTATTAAGGTTTTTATTACACGCAGCAGCAACTCCCATCGCTTTGCGTATTTTAGATTCAACTGGAGGAATTACCACCTTTAAAATGATTGTCTAGACACGAGACGATATGCCATCAACTAAACAAAACGCTCTGAGGTCATTTTAAAAGGCGACTTGCCCCCCTCGCAGATTCCTGAGTCTTTATGGAATTTAGGTTTTCCTTTTAAGTGCTCACAAAGCTACTTTTAAGCAAGTTCACTTAAAGTTCCTGGCCTGGGATCTCTCATATTAGACAGGTTGCATTAAATTTTGGGTCTGCTCACAAGAAGGCAAGGCTGGAGAATCTGGAGTTTGCAGCCCAGATGTTGCAAACACCAACACATGCAAGTCATCTCATTAGTCCTATGGGATCTTCCATCTGCTGCAGCAGCTACTTTGGGCCCATTTATTTAAAAAGGAAAAAAAAAAAGTCAGGGATTAAATCCAATCAAATTAAAATCCACGTCCGCTACAAGGATCAGGAGAAGGTAGCTCTGGGAAGAACAACCTGCAAGTTTGCCTGTTATACCAATGCAAGAGCCCTAACTGTCCGTGTAAATGCTGCACAGCAGCAGGCACACAAAGAGTTAGGATAACTTAAAGAAAATATCTGAGGAATTCTTAAATGAGAACACACATCCTTTGCTTGCCGCCCACCTCCCAAAATGATTTTTTCAGTGAGAAAAATCCAACAGCTCTAATAACAATCTCTTCTCCTGCAGGGTGGCTGTATGACTACACCCAGACATACGTCTGCTCCTTCCTCTTCGCTGGAGCCTGTGCTCTCATCTCACCTATTTCTTTCCTCTTTGAGCCTTCGGCCCAGAAATGGAAGCTAAAAAAAGCCAACCCGAACAACGGCCCCAGGCTTGGCTGAAGCGATTCTGCGGGGACAATTCTAAAGGATGGTCTTTGATCGCATCCACGATCGGAAAGCGACTGTCGGCACAGACCTCCTGTACCGGGAAACAGAAACAGCAGCAAAAATGAAAATAGGAATTTTGTAGATGACAGATTCACAGTTTGTATATCTAGAGATTTCTCCTGCACGTGTGATTAAAGCCAGCTAAGAAATATGTAGTGTAAAGCGTTATTTGATGGGGGGAAAAAAAAAAAAAATGAGGCCCATGGCCCAGCCGGACACTGGCTCC